AACAAACTGTGGGCCCACCTGGTGGAGGTACCTATTCCTCTCATAATATAATTCCTCAGCCTCCTAAAATTCACAGAACATTTATTTTAGCTTGCACTGCTTTCAGGAAATGAACGGTACTAGAAAAGAGGTTCCCAATGCATGGTTTTTGGTCTCCTTAGTTTGCTTTGTTTCCACGTGGAGCAGCACAAGGTAAACGTGCTCGGCTCTCTGCCAGAATCGAACAGTTTAGGTTACACATGCCTAAGCATCCAGCTTCTGTGTGTCAATGTCACTTGGTAGGACTGATCCATGGGTAGAAGCTTCCTTGTACCCTGTACTGACTGTACCAAAAATATAACAAAACATAGCCTGCATCCTTCCTACAGGGTCATGGTATATAACATAGTAACCTGCACTTCCTTCACCTGCTGTGTAAAACCTCACTACTAGAGCATTAGAAGGAAATGAAAAGTAAAATTGGTTAATTCTAAATTCATCCAAATGTATGACCTCACATTTCATCACCTAAACATACTTTTTAAATATGTAATATGGCCATGACCTGCTAAAAGGATTCAGTCCAACAGCAAACAATATGTGACTCTATTCCTTTCAGTAAAGTAAGTATAACAGGCAAAGTTATTTCCTTTGCAGAAGAAATAGCAGTTTATGATTTTATTTCATAAGGAATGAATGATATTCTTCATGGATGATTTCAGAACTTTTGGATACCTGTCTTCAACTTTGATTTTAAGGGCCCAATGAAATGTTAAAGGCAACAAAAGCTTCCATAAATATAATTCAACCAACCTGTGACAGCAAAGGAAGAGAGTATTTCAAACTCTTAGGAAGGAGCTAATATGTTTGGCACACTCCAACCACTCTTATACCTATGGCTATTAAGCATGAAAAGTTTCTATGGAATATCCATTACTCACTCACTCTGCTCCAAACACATAGTTTGTCAGAAAAATAAAATAGGATGGGGTGGAGGAGAGGAAAGCCAACTTTCAAGAGCAGGAAAAGGCAGACACAACTAAATTCTAAATTCATTTAACATTTGCACCTTGTTTTCAATAGTGTCTTTCATTTAATTTTCCCTGAAATAAATTTAAATTTGCACATATACTGAATGCAAGAGAAAACCCATGAAAACAAACAAAAAACAAAACAAACCTAAGCAGTACACATCTTTGTAACTTGTATGATAGCTCTTTCTTAGTCCTTGTGTTTGAATAGCTGAATGAACTGTGGTCTGTTTTTCATTATTTCCCATCTGGTGCTATTGGCCTCCTTGTTCAGCAATTTCTGATCATTTTGGCCTGATGGTGACTGTTTGGTTTTATGTTGCTATATTACACAGAATAAAAGCTGTTGTAGCCACCACCCAAGAAAGAATAATCTTGAAAACAGAAGTTATGTTAAAAAAGTTCCTGATAACCCTTCTGGAAGAGAAAATTGAATACCCATATCTTACAGGGGCACAGGTGGGACACAGGAAAGGACAAAAACATGTCTTTTCAATGGTAAAATAGAATTATAGCCTGTCGGGTTAATACATCGATATTAATTCTGACGCCCTTTCTCTTCATTTCTAAGGAGATTAATGTGTATTTTTGTCATACCTTGTTAAACATATGATATGCTGCATGTGTGACAGCTTATGAAAAACTAATTTCATATCACATCTTTAGAAATATAAACAAAAAATTCTTGCCTTCATAATGCTTAGTTTTAATCTCATAGCCTTCATCTGAAGCCAGAGCTGCAAATGATTGAAAAGCAAGTGTTTCCATGAAAGACCAGATCCAATCTGTGCTCTCCAAGGATATTTCAAGGCTCTTGCTGATTTTATTTACAAGAGGCATCTCCTGCATTCTTTCATTTCTTCCCTTAAGCAAGCACTGGTCATGAAGAGCTCAACTTCTGCCTTAAATAAAAGGGCTTCTTAAATAAAGAAGTAAAGCTTGGCATTCTCTTCTAATTATTTGCTGTTAATCTAAAATTATTTTACCAAGGCAAAGAAAAGTGGTGTGAGTTACGGAGGTTTCATTGAAACCAGCTCATTGTTCTAAGACTTGTACTTTTTTTTCCTGAAGAGACCACAGAACAGATTCAAAGAAATGCTGAGGGAATAACAGAATCCTACACTTTAACACTTTTGTTTGCCTTAATATTGCCAGTATGTTGAAGATGAGGTATTGTCACGTATTTTCCATGTAAAACTCATTTAAACATCACAACATTCTATGACTGAGGCCCTATTATTACTATATTTTTATAGATGGGAAAATCATGGCACACCAAGGCTGAGTCATTGACTACAGGTCACACAGCTAATGTATGTCCCATAAGCTAGAATTTGGACATTTCCTGTATTATTCTTAGTGCAGAAAATGAAAAAGTGTTTAGAGTTGTACATATATATGTAAGTATATCTACATAGAAGTAGAGAGATATATGTCCCTCTATAGGTACAGATGCATATATACATATTTTCCCACTCACATGTATACATATCTTTAAATATAGCGTTGAATAAAATATTTGAAGCAATGTTCTTAGTAGAATAACGAGTATCAATGCTATGCCCTTTATTGCTCTTTTGTGTTAATTTTTCAAAAAGACTCTGCCAATTTAACATGGTACTGATGATCCAGTTTTACACTAATGAACACTGGATACCCTATATGTTATGTCTGCTGCTTGAGTGGATATAAACTATCACCACAAATTGCTTTAATTTTTATGTTTCCAATGATTGCCTACCTTGCCCTAAGGACATCACTTGTGGGGTAGCCCTATTAAGTTTTTGTGTTTTTGAAGCTCACCTCTCACATCCCTCTTTCTGTGGGAACTGTGAGTAGAACCTCTGTCTACTTGATTAACTTCTTACCTAAAGCCTCCAATTTAGAGTCTTGTATCACCAGATCATATAACCAGCTCAACTCCACTTCAACTATGGTCTTTAGACCATGGTACAATTCCAGTAATTTCTCCACAAATACCCTCTGCATTAGTCACTTTCGAGCTTTATCCTTGCTTTCTTTCTTGGGATTTTCAGTACCTATCTGATCAGGTCCCCGAACTCCTTATATCTTTCTCCTAACCTTGACAACTTAATTTCGTGGTCATCATTAGTAATTATGAACAATTTTCCTCAAATGTAATTGTTGACTCTTCCTAATTATTCCTGCTTGCAGCTACCTTGAAAATTCCATAGTGATCCTTTCCATTGTTCTATGGATAAATGAGGAAACAGGTGACTCCTTCCTCATTTTCCCTTGAACTATGTTTTTAATACTTTCTTTTACTTTTACTTCTACTTTCCCTCTTTTTTTTTTTCTTTTATTATTCATATGTGCATACAAGGCTTGGTTCATTTCTCCTCCCTGCCCCCACCCCCTCCCTTACCACCCACTCCACCCCCTCCCGCCCCCCCCTCAATACCCAGCAGAAACTATTTTGCCCTTATCTCTAATTTTGTTGTAGAGAGAGTATAAGCAATAATAGGAAGGAACAAGGGGTTTTGCTGGTTGAGATAAGGATAGCTATACACTATACTCTACTTTCCCTCTTGGTAACTAAGTTTCACTCATTTTGGCTAAAATAATTTTTATATATTGGGCTAATACATGTTGACTATTATATCACATGTATTAGAATCATATTGTATCAGCTCAGAAACCAATTAATATTATGGGACACATGTTGTATATGTAATTAAGTTAAAAAAAAATCCAGGATAACATTTTAATAACTTCCAAAATCTTGACTCCTTCCTTCTATCTCCTGAAGTCTGTGCCTTGTGTGATTTTTTACTGTAGCTACAAGGGTTTACTTAATTACACTCTAAAATTCTTTCTCCTGAATATCAGACTTTCCCAGGCCCACCACTCTACCTTGAATTTATAAGTTCCATTCCCCCAGAAAGAAATCTGTATGTTTCTCTCCAATAGTATAACTTTGTGGGTACTTCTGTAAGGGACCTCCCTTATACTCCCAGACATACTAGGGAGGTGCACTGAACCCAACAAGGATGTCAGGATTGGCTTCTTGGTTTCTTTTCAACTAGAGACTGAACTATTGTGTGGCAGAAACCACACGTTATTATTATTTCTCCCGTAGTACTGGTTTATAGGAGACATGGAATGCTCTTTTTTTTTTACTGCTAAAATGAATCTGAGTATCATTACCCAAACAGGTTAGGAGTATATGAATGTTCTTCCCTATAACTTGTGCCTATTTTATTTGCATGTGAAATAGGACCAGAGTTTAGAATGTTCTTGGCTCTACCACACTTCTTGATTTCAGTATTACAACTAAGGCTGGATTAGGAACAACAAATAACATATGTTGCAAGAAGCATTCCAATTTTCCAGTAAAAACTGAGTCATGCAAGAGAGACCATATAGATTTCACAAATAATTTAATAAAACCTTTAAAAGTGTATGGAGTTCCCAGACACAAAGAAACATAAGCCACAGATACGGTCAAATGACTTCACAAGTATTTCTAGGAAAAGAGTCTGACCTTAACAAAATACCAACTCTGAAATCCTGTGAGGTATTTATAGCCAAAGCTTATACAACAAGCCCATTAGCAAATTCATCCCTAGTCAACAAATGTTGCTAGAGCTCTAAAAAAAAAAAAAAAATTCTTTGCCTAGGAAAGTTTTCCCCAGTGTTCCTCATTTTTATATAGGAAATCAATTTGCATCACTGATAATATCATTCAAATCAGACAACCCAAAGTTGTTAGGAAGTAATTTAGTTTTATGCTGAAGCAATTTGATGCTTGCTCTGATTTGTGGTTTTCATTTTGTTTGTTAATGAAAAAAATTAATGAGCAATGTTACCAGAAATACAACTCATCAAATCATTGGCATTATTAAAGAGGTTTGCCAAATACTGCATACTGTGGTCATTGTGCAGATGGCACCCCCACCTCTGTGACGAACGCCCCATCAATTGAACAGCACAGGCGAGAGCTCAGGGTACAGATGCTGTCACACATACCTTTGCATTGATTTGTGTTTTTGTCAAGAATTGCCTTTGTGGATACAATTTTTCCATAGCTGAAAGAGAGAGAGAGAAAGAGAGAGAGAGAGAGAGAAAGAGAAAAAAAAATCCATGTTATTAAATCCAATGAAGACATTTAAAATGCACTGCTGGCACACAAAATTGAGCATGAATAAACCCACAAAATAAGCTCTGAACTCCCACTTCAGACATGGATGATCTTTCACCAGCTCTCCTTTAGAACTTCAGAATGCACTTCCCTACATAAACTCTGGGCTGCACCTCCATTGATAAACCCACAAGGCTGTGATAGGTGTCTGGAAAGGGACTGCCTGTGATTGAGACTAAAGGAAATCACAGCCTTTGGATCCACAGATGAAAGCTTTGGTGCCAGTCTGAATGGGCTTGTGGCCATATGCCTCTGCTAGACCTTGAACAGTTCAACCCAGCCTCTGCAGGTCACAGTTTTTTCTTCTGTAAAGGAGAAACTACATACACCAAATCTTCTGATTCAGTCAACCTTCAGGAATCAGGAGTCTCCAGAGGCAAAGTAGTACAGCAGTTAAAAGAATCTACTGGGCACCACACTTCCATGATTCACATCTCAGGTCAGCTCAATGTGTTTGGCAGGAAAGTCACAAGTACTCTTTGTATCATTTTGCCATCTTGAGTGATGTAGATATATTTACTTCTAAGTAATGACCTGCATTATTACTTGTTTACAACTTATAAATAGCTAGGAGGACAATGTCTTCCTTACAGGGTTGTGAGGGCTACCTGGGGTTTACATGGAGTACTCAGGACATAGGCTGGCACAGTGGCTCAAGTATTAGAGCACCTGTGTAACAAGATCAAGATCCCAGTACCACCAAAAAAGAAAAGTGCTGAGGACAGTGGCTGACACAGAGTAAGCATTCACTAAATGCTAATTTTTCTTCCAATTATTCCTGGTTATCTGCTAAAAAAGTCAGTCTTAAAATAGATGAGAAGTAAAATGGGGGCAGGGGTAAAGGTTCCATCATGATTGACAGCTTAAAACATTATTACTTGGGCCGTTAAAATCTTACACTAAGAAATTTGGCAGGTAAAGTCATTTGCTAAATGCTCTATGGAAATAGAATATTGAAGCCCATTAAGCATTGTTTCAAAAAGAGGCAGGGAGATAAGAAAGAGTAATACAGGGGGTGGAGGGAAAGTTGATCAGAGTACATTATATGCATTCGTGGAAATAACACAATTAAATCCCTTTGTACAATTAATATGTCCTAATTAAAAAGTTATTTGCTAAAAGATAATTTACATTTATAATTTAAACTTGTTTTTAGTGCCAGGATTTCATTAACTATGCCGTATTAGCGTACTACTAACAAAGCCCCCAACCTCACCTTTCTCACCTCACAATAAACACATCCATGCCTGCTTCAGATTGTACTCCATCCCAAGGTTTTCTTGGGAAAGCAACCAGTAAAATAATACCATGTTTGAACCTTCTCTTCAGGATCACAGCAATTAACCAGATGTAATGTTTACTAGGTTTGAGCTATTCAGGCAAATAAACATTTAAAAAATGTACAGTAGAAAGAAAGAGAAGAAGATAGAGAAATTTTGCTGAAACTTTTTTCCACAAAAAATACACCAACACACACAGTATGTGAGAAGATAATGATCAAAGAAAGAAAACTCAAAACATTTGTAACCAAAACAGACCAGGGATAGAAATCCTTAAGACAAAAATCCTTCTAATTGGTTTCTAAACCTATTCTTGAAATTTGTATAGAAGTCCCTTCAAAATTAAAATTAAGCAGCATCTTTTAAAGATGAAATAAAAATGACCGTATTTCATACTGAATTACATCTCACAGTGGGGCATGTATGGTGTATATATTGTCCCATTGTATCAATATTACAAAGATATCCTCTCCTTCATTAAATGCAGCATGGGTAAAAAATGACTATCATTGTTTTATAGAAAGAAAATAAGTCAAATGCATTCTTATGGTAAACATTTGTGAGAATTTTGGCAAACAACTTTTTTCTTAAAAAAGAAAAAGAACTTTATTTCCCAGAAAGTATTCCAATACTACTATAAATGGAAAATCACTGAGAGAGAGAGAGAAAACAAAAACGCAAACTGTACTAGTTTTGACTGCCCTAGCTCTAATTACACCCCAGGTTCAACTTTCCAATAATACAGAATCACAAAACAATGGAACCCAACTCTGAGTACTTCACACAGTATCTACTCTGACCAGAGTTATAGGAGTTTCATTCCTTGGCTCAGTTACAACATTCTGCATTAAAATTTATTTCACAGACCTAGAATATGCTTTGAACAAGAGAAGGTATTTAATGGGCTGCTGGTTACCGTTCATGTCTGAACTCTTACAGTGACAAACAGATACTTTCTGCATGACTGACACTGAATTCCCTGTGATTTGCAAAGTCAAATCACAAAGATGTAGGTAAACAACACTTAGTTTTTGAAAGACCCAAACCACTATAAACACAAAAATCACCAATCTAATGAACCTGTGAAGAATTATATCAAGTAAACAACGCTTAGGCTAGTCTTTTAAAAATCTAAACTACCATAAATACAAAAATCACCAATCTAATGTAACTAATGTAAGAATTATATTAAATGTCTCTTCCTGACTCTTTTCTCAAAGTATATTATTAGAGTAAAAACTACTAGATCAACTAAAAGCATGTTTTTACACATGCTGAAAGGGTAAAAAAATAAAAACAAAAACTTCTGAGGTAAAAGGTAATCCTAAACATGTATCACTTTACCTATTCTTCCCCATTTTTGGGTTTAGAGCAAGACTTAAGTTTTCATAAAGTTTTTCTTCTACTATGCCAACCACGAATGGAAGAAGAACTCTATTAGAGAAAAAATGTGACCAAATTACTGAGTGATGGCTGGAAATAGGCACTGGTCCCATGTGCCTCCTGGCTCCAGAAGCTTTCAGACAAATCTAATTCACCACTCCAAGCTTTCATTTCCCACAGCAAGTAGAGATAAAATACTATCCACAACTGGCTTCCGTTGCTCTTCTGGGGGAAAACAAATAAATGAAATAAGTACATTTTATATGACAACGCTCTCCATGTGGAGCTTCTCCAGCCTATATGGCAAGCCCCTCATACAGCACTGTTAGGTTACTTTTAGACATTGAAAGTGTGCAACTCCATGTCACATGTACCATCTCACAAATGACAAAGCACCAATCATCTAGTCCACATGTACAGCCAGGTCCCAAGCAACGTTCTCCTTGTGTCCTGCAACAGCTGTGCATGTTATTTTGAGTTTTCATAACTGAATGATACCAATTCATATGTCATTTATCAGTGCTTTAAAATACTTTTGCACTAGCTCATCAACACAAGCTTTACATTTCATTTTATAAGAAATAGTTCATTCTTAAATGGCATCTGAGTCAAACTATATTTGTTGATACACTTGATTATTCTACACACAGCCTAACTTAAACTAATGGCAACTTTTATTTTCCATACTTGGAAGAGAAAATAAGAGCTATTATGGGTCTACTCTTCATGAATTATGAAGACATCAAATTGGTAAGATATTTCTATAAAGAATTTATTTTTAAACCCTTTGCTGAATCACCCACTGTGTATATTAATTCAAAAAAATACAGGCAGACTGAAAATAGCGTCTCCGCAGTCAATTAACTCTCAGCTAACTCATTTTTCACAGCCTTCTGTACTGATACCAGACTAGAAGAAGGGATCACATTTATTTAATGGATGATACATTATCCTTTTAGCACTTGTGAGTGTTTGCCTCCTTCTGGATGGCTCATTCATTCTTTAGCATGTGGGGATGCTCACAGAGCACACTGGTAGTTGTAGGGTGTCAGTTAGAAGGTGACAGGGCAAACTTCTGGCTATGCCATCAGCTAGGTGTCATTTACAAGCCCACACCGTTACTATTCTGAAGTATTTACCACTTCAACCTACAAACAAATGGTCAAGTCTAGGCATCCTTGTTATGGGCTAAAGTATGTTTCCTGAAGACTAATTATTGAAATCTCCACCCCCAGTGCCTCAGAATGCAGCTGTATTCGGAGGTGGGGTTTGCAAAGAGATAATTAAGGTTAAAAGAGCACATAAGATTTGGACGCTCTGCCAATGTGACAGGCATCCATCCATGAAGAGACAGACCCAAAAGGAACCCAGGTGAAGACACAGGGGAAAGATAACCACCCATCAACACAGAAAGGACTCAACAGAAACAGGCCTGCCAGCACCTTCATCTCAGACTTCCAGCCTCCAGAGCTATGAGAAATTAAATTGGCGTTAAGCCATTCAAAGCCTATATGGCAGCCCTAACACAACCTCTCATCCCAGGCCTCTTGGCTCTGGGAAAGGGAAGAGAGGTAAGAGGAATCAGAGGACAATAGTCCTGCTTTAAATGCTTGCTCAGTGATTTGACACTAGGTCCTTCATGTCCTCAGCTAAGACATTGAAGCTCTTTGTTATGCAGATAACAGAGGCCAAGTGCAATGGTGATGCCCAGAGCACATTACGATTGATCTAGAAGCTGGTCCTCAGTCTTGTAGTCTAGGCATCCTTTTCTAACTTCCAGAGATAATTTTTTGTGTGTGTGTGATGCTGGGGTTTGAACTCAGGACCTTGTACTTGCTAGGCAGGCTCTCTACCACTTGAGCCATGTCCCCATCCCTTTATTTGCTTTAGTTATTTGTTACTATCTGACCCTATTGATCTCACGTTTTTGCCCACAGCTGATCCTTTTTTGGCCATCTGTATAGCTGGCATTATAGATGAGTCCCACCATGCCTGGCCTGGCTTGTTTCTTGAGATGGAGTCTTGTTAACTTTTTGCCAGGGTTTGCCCCAAACTGGAACTGTTATCCTCCTGATCTCTGCCTCATGAGCCACTGTGCCCAGCAGAGACAAACTCTTAAATCATGGATCACATCAAGTAATTTTCACAAATCTATTGCACAAACCAGAATTTTTTAAAATTAATGTACACCTTGGGGTAAAAACCCTATGTAGAACTCAAAATACAAGTATTAATAAGGTAGAATTAGACAAAAGTTGTTAGAAGAGGAAGTGTTTGATGAAGGGACAATATTTTAACAATCAGACATGCTTTTTATAGTTCTTTTGTTTAAAAGAAACAAGTCTAAAACTGTTTCTTTTTTCAGGCCTGCATACTACTATTTAGTAAATTATTGTTTCAATATCACAAATGGAGCCAACAGCATCCCAGGTCAGTAATGCTGCACTTCACACTTGACCTACCCTAAGATAGTGGTCTCAAACTGTAATGTGCACCAGAATATCATGCAGCTCTTGGTGTGACACAGATTGCTGGGCCCAACCCCAGAAATTCTGCCTTAACAGATGTGCAGTGGGCCTGGAGAGCTGGCCCCGGATGGGTCTGGTGGTGGTGGTGGTATTTTAAGATCATTTTCAGGACTCCAGTGACTCAAGGAGCTTTCTGCAGACATGAAGAACTGCTTTCATGACTGAAAACATGTTCTTTTGTTCAAATAATATGCCACATTGAAGAAAATGAACAATGTTTTTCAGAGTTTCTGCCTAATGCTATTTGTCATTTAGCCAATACAATGACAAGTTATAATTCAAGCTTGGCTGGTCAGATATTCTTTTACAGATACCTTTTAGGAAGAAATTAAGAGAAAACACAGACAATATCAATGTAACTCTCTTTCTTCATCTAAAATAACTAATTGATAGTAGTTTGATTGAATTGGAATCTTAATCTAGTGAGAAATCTGGCAAAGAAATACTTAGTAGCTCGTTAGTGTCTTCACCATTTCTAAAATTAGAAATGCACGTAAAACTAGGGGCCGGGTGTGGTGGCTCACACCTGTAATCCCAACTATTTAGGAGGTGGAGAAAAGAAGATCATGATCATGGTTTAAGACCAGACAGAACAAAAAGTTAGCTCTGCAGACCATTTCTCAAATACAAACTAATAGCAAAAAAGACTTGCTTAGCATGTGGGAGGCCCTGAGTTTCAGGCTGTACTTTAGGTTACAGATGTTGGTCTATCGTTGGGGAATATAGACTGCCATCATAGCAAAAAGTAGTGAGAATGGGATTTCCCTGCAAACAGGGTTGTATATCACATCCATCTGGGTACTTTCTGCAACTGATAACAGCACTTCAGCACATTTAACAGACTTTCATATCTGGTCAGCTAATGTGGAAAAATGATGACCTTTATAATCAAATCACAATAGACTTTAATCTGAACTCTACCGCCTATTGGACCTCAGATAAATTATTACTGCTCCCCCACCCCCAGTCCCTGTTCCTTGGTCTTGTAATGTAATTTCCAAGCCCTGCTTCTCATAGCATCTGTCAGGATGAAATAAAATAGTGTGTGTAAACT